TTATTATTATTATTTTAATTTGACAACGAATCGTGGTAATTGAATCGTGGGGGGTGGGGTTTGGTTAGCTCAGCATATGCCACTCTCATTGGCTGAGCAAATAATTGGGGCAGGTCCGTTTCTTCAGCCAGCACCGCCGCCTGTTCTCACCTGAAAGCACGGGACAAAGAACGCGATCACGAGTCCGCGTTTTATGGGGTCGCGCTAAGCATTGATATTCGGTGCTTTTTCTGGAAGACTTTGCTGCTTCTTCCTGGATTCATATCTGTTGCGCGTAGTCACTTTAGGATGTTTTCTTGTTCATGTTTTTGTTTGTTGTGGTTGCAACCGATTCAAGAGCCGAATGGCTCACAGGGCTATACCAAATAAATGAACTATGAACTAACTACTATGAACTATGACACTCACTCACCTGTACACTCACCTGTACACTCACCTGAAAACTGAAACTGTCTGTGTCGTCACGTGTAACAGCATTCGCTGAATACATTGTCGGTCTACACATGGAGTTACCACGACTGTCAAAGCGTCAGGTGCCATTTTTAAGTCGATGAACTCACAATTTGAATCTCATGGTTATAGTTGTGATTTTTATTTATTGTAATTGTACTTTTGTCCCATTTCGCTACATAACGAATTGGTGTATTTTCTACAAAGGCGATAATTCATGCTTCGTGTTGTGTTATATGGTAAACTATTTCTACCAATTTAACAATTATTGTCGAACTGGCTGTTTTCCCCGTCGTCGTGTGCATAGACATACACAAAACAAAGATGCCCCGTATAGCGTGAACAAACTGTTAGGGCAAGTGCTGTTAGCGAGCATCTATGAAGGCTGGCACGGCACACAAGGGGGTGGGTGGCCAACACCACGCCCGACCGCCTTTGTTTCCCTAGTGGCAATATTTTACACACCACACCAGGTAGTCATTTGAGGCTGAGTCGGCCTAGGAGAGGCCCAGGACCGGTTGAGATCATCGTCACTGGTGGTGTCCGTGAGCGGGAATCGAACTCGGGTCACCAAGTTCGTAGCGCAGCGCGCAAACCGCTACACTACTGCTCCCCATAGGCAAACACAGATCATAACACCACACACAAACTGATACCCATGAATGTGTTTATTTTAAAATAGTTTTTGGTCAGCCTGGCACGTCAACGTTTACTAAAAAATACAGCATTGAGTGAAATGTAAAGGTGGCCCCGTACACAACCAATGGGCATTGCATAACTATGATTTAAAATGACACCTCAACAAAAGCCAAATGAAATACGATATTATGAATCAGACTACTGCTTGAATAGAGCTAGGGTTGTTTAAAGTCTTTTGTGTTGCAGGTAACCGCTTTAAAAAGCAGCAAAAAAAATATTTGGTAAACTGGTTCACTACACATATAGAATGTCCAGCAACACAAAAGTTTTACCTTTAGAGCAGAAAATTAAAGGAAGCTGCTGTGGTGTAACGGTTACCACAGTGGACTTGTAACCCAGAGGTCTCCAATTTCATTTCCCAGCGCGGCATTTGAAGCAACGGGGCCAGTTTCTTACATCGCACGTGGCTTATCACGTGGAAATTTATAGCGGCCAAATGACTCGAAAAGCATGTTTCTAAATTTTAAGGGAAAAACCAGAGGACCCGGAAAAAAAATCCACGCGACCACGGGGAGAACATGCAAACTCCAAATATACAGCAGGTGTTACGGTCGGGATCAAACCCACGACCTCCTGCATACCAGGCGAGGTAGTAAACATCTCCTAGCCACCGTGGCACCCTCTCACCACAGTGGCGCCTCGACAATGGGTCCACAATCGGCAGATCACCTTTGATGGGATCAAGTTGGGGCGTGCCCACCGCTTCCAAAACTATCTGCAAGAGTGGAGCAAAAATACCCTCCAGAGCTCTCTCAATGGAGGCCCTGTCGTCAGCAGCGGCGGAGTAAGCGAGCAAGTGCAGGGCCGCCGCACCTTTACCTGTTCACCGAAACATTTGACAAATGCACCTCGAGGTGACTTTGGTCCACCACCGTTCCGTTTTGTACGGTCACATGTACCACATGTACGTTCACATGTACCACATGTACGTTCACATGTACCACATGTACGTTCACATGTACCACATGTACCACACGTACGTTCACATGTACCACATGTACGTTCACATGTACCACATGTACGTTCACATGTACCACATGTACCACATGTACGTTCACATGTACCACATGTACCACATGTACCACATGTACATTCACATGTACCAAACGGAGCGTTCACTGTGAATATGCCACTGGAATCAATTCATGGCTCCTGACTTTTGGAAGTGGTAATTGATTCTGACAGCATTTACCGCTTTACCGGTTACCATTCAACAACCTTATAAAGGAGTATGTATCAAACTGAGATGACTGGTATTTATACTATAACTCATACGTTTTTCACATTGCTATATTACAACCTTTATGCAATGTGTATGCAGCAAGTATGAATGGGCATCATATCATGGCAGTTAATAACAACCCTGCAGCATTTACATTAGCCCTATCAGAGTTTACCTCGTACAAGTACTGTATTAATACACAATCATTCTACAGGCACGTTGAAACACAATAAACATACATAATACAGAACCATATTGGAGTGTTAGTACACAGTAAACCCATAGCAGTGTTAATCCTATCAGTGTTAATATGTACTGTCCTACCAAAATTATAGTTCATCTATCTATAGCATTAGCGCACAATAATATCCATACATGACCCATGCAGTATCAGTCCATTACAGTTGCAGTAGCGTTACATAGCGTCAATGTCCTACACAATTGCTGGGGCTTAGCAACATGAAATCATCAACAACCTTGGCCTCTTAAACCGTCCCCTAAATAATGTCAAGACAAATAATCAGACAAAGATGCCTCCTTTCTATATCTGTACCTCCACATGAGGTTTTATTTTTTAACATCCCATCAGTCACACAGCCTTCTGGGATTGCATGCATTTCAGCAGGATTGGTTTCAACGCACGCAAAACTCTGCACTGATTTCCACGTTCAGTCTCTCATTACCAGTCACGCTTGCATATAAACATATGGCAGATCCTCAGCATTGCTTCGAGCAAGCCCGACTCTGCCGATGAGACGTTCAATGTAAAACCGGTCCAAAATGTGCTTACATTAAACCAATGCTGCAATGAAATGCAATCCCAGAAGGGCGTGTAGTTCATGGATTGTGTAATTACTTTGATGCTTTCACAAGGAGGGAGAGATACGTGATGGAGGTGTATTGTCGACTAATTTATCTTATTAAAAAAAACTTATCTGGTTATGGTGTTGCAAAAGGTAACTTTAGGTCGTTTAGGTTAGGCCTCTTAGGTAGCTTAGTTAGGTAGCTGAGTTACATAGCCTTGAAATGCAGTTAGGCAAAACAACTTTCAAAGCATTGGAAACATAACGAATAAATGTAACATGTACGTTTATAGCTTTGGGGATATTTTCCACGTGTGCCTGAAACAAACATTTAAGGCAGACCCGGATAAAAAAAAAACAGATCAAATAAAGTGAAGGGCAAGAGCAGGTCTAAGTGTTCTAGGAAGGCTGAACTCGATAATAATAAAAACAACAGCAATGTGCCTCGACGGGAATGTTTTGCAATCTGTGCATACTCCCTGCCACGATATGCGTCAGAAACACCTCAGGAATCTAAACTGCTTAAAAATGTGCAAAGAAGCACGGGGAGATGCATGCTGGCAATCACAATGAGAAACAGGGAAAGGAGCAAATTGGATTAGAGAATATTAGATGATGTTATTGATACGCTTCAGTATTAAGTAGGCTTTGCGCAGGGCACATCGTGGCTGGCAGCACGGGCCATAGTGACGAACAATAAGTGGGCAGTCAAGGGAATGGAACGTATCCGTGAAGACATCCACCAGTGAGATGGAGTGATGGGATAACCAAATGATCCACTGGAAACGCATTTCTCTTCCTTCGTGTCAAAATCGGATGGTAAATAATGAAAAGAACCAGAAGTAGGACCGATATCTAAGAGACAGAGCCTGTGCCTATACACAACTAGTAGTTCACTCGCGTTGATTCAAGCAAGCAAGCAAGCCTGACTTGCTGATGAGACCCTATAAATTGAACCAATGCTGCTTAAATGTATGCATTCCAAGAAGGCGACGAGGCTGATGCGAGCTATGAAATACCTTTATGTTGACGTGGAGGGACGTATACGGGAAGGAGGAATTTTGCCTGATAATCTATTGTTAGAAATTTTCACCGTGTTGGTTAGGGAGTTTTAAATGCCGTTTTAGTTAGTTTAGGTGAGCTTAGTTAGGTACCTTTGAACGCATTTAGGGAACCAATGTTGCCCGATGGGAAACATAAGTGATAGATGTAGCATCTATAAAGTCCTGTGGTTCTTTCACCATACCTCACCACAATGGTCAGTGGGGGTCAGTGAAGACGGGGAGCATTTACTTGGGAGCAGAGAGGGAGAGTCCAACAATGTGGTTTGCTGGACTGCCCCTTTGCTACCTACCACACACGTATGCATGCATGTGTATGGTGGTCACCCATCCGAGCACTATTCCAGGCTCCATTCCGCTTTGCTTCCGAGCTCCAATGAGATCGGGAACATTCCGGTTGACTTGACTGTAGGGCCCCAGGAACAAGATGAGGTGAGATGACGTTGGGAAGAGGGACAAGGGGAAGATTCCAAAGTGGAGCAGTGCGAGGGAAGAAGGAGAAATGTTGTAACCTGCAGTGAAGCGAGCGGGTGAATGGTTGGTTAGGTTTTTGTTTTTGCGATGATTTCTATATATATTCTATGATTTCTATATTTCACGATACAAGGTTGCGATATGTTAACAACCTCACCTGGTATACAGGAGGCCGTGGGTTCGATCCCGACCCTGACCCCTGTATGTCTGTGTTTGCGTGTTCTCCCCGAGGTCGCGTGGATTTTTCTCTGGGTCCTTCGGTTTTTCCCTCCACATTTAGAATCAACGTGCGTTTAGAGTATTAGGCTACTATAGATTTTCACGTGACAAGCCACGTGGTTGAACTATCATGTGGCCAGGTTGCTGCTGAAAAAGAGCTACATAGCTCAGTGGGCCATACCTGGTAAAATAAATGATTGTTTTGCTCTGATGTCTATTAGTTTCATTGGTGTACTTTCTTTTATGTTTTTGCTTTTGTCAATTTGGCGACCCAGGTAAGTCGCTCTTGCAAATGAGACTTTTCTCTTTATGGTCTCACCTGGTTGAAGAAAATAAGCTTGATATTTGAATATTATGGCAATTGCAGAGCTTGAATGATGCGGGCACATGTGGAAAGGACAGAGATATGCAGGTGAGGTACAAGGCACTGGAATGATGGGTGAACAAAGTTACTGAGCACAGACCCAAATGCCCAAAACATCATGCGGAAAGAGATAAAGAGCACGATCAAGAGTTGTAATAGATACCAGTTAAGACTTTCTTGAATTGAGCATGGTGATTATTAAAGCTTGGAAAAATAAAATGGGAAGAAATTCCAATGTCAAACCTCACTAGGGATGAAGCAGAAAGAGAAGTGTGGTTGATGGGTGGGCTGGTTTGGGTGGGTTGGTTTGGGTCGGTGGGTGGGTGGGTTGGTTTGAGTGGGTGGGTTGGTGTGGGTGGGTTGGTGTGGATGGGTTGGTTTGGGTGGGTGGATGAGTGGGTGGGTTGGTTGCTTGCTTAGTTTGGGTGAGTTGTATGTATCTTGAACTTCTTTTGCACCGTTCATAGCCAACCGTGCTCATTGGAGGTGCGGGGAAAGGTTTGGGTGGGTGGGTTGGTTTGGGTTGGTTGGTTTGGGTGGGTGGGTTGGTTTGGGTGAGTGGGTTGGTGTGGGTGGGTTGGTTTGCGTGGTTGGTTAGTTAGTTGGTTTGGTTCAGTAGTTGGGTTGGTGGGTGTGTTATTATATGCTGATGGGCTTTTATGGGTCGGTTTTTTGAGTGGGTAATTTTTGATGGGTGGGTGGGTTGGTTTGGGCAGGTGGATTGGGTGGGTAACAGAGTGGATGGGTGAGTGAGACACTGGATGAGTGAGAGGGTGAATCAGTGGGTGGTTAGGTTTGTGAGTGGGTGTGGTGTTGTGATCTACAGTGCGGTGGTTGAACCCTGTGTGGAGTTTTCAACATGGCAGGAGGAATCAAAGAGTGAAGTTCACGGGATAGTGGTTTTATGGATGGCACTGGTTAACATTGGCATGCGAAAGCCTACACTGTGCTGGCGGTGGTTGTGTGTTCTACACAGCAGTGAGCAAAGCTAGCCCAGATGGCCCAGTTACAGTGGCACATTTTCCACTGTTCTATCAGTGGCACCAGGTCCCCCAGTTCCTACTGGCACCACGGGGAGCTTCAGACCCTCCTCCTCCGCTTCCTCCGCCTCTTGAATGATATCAGTGGCCCCAAGGCCCTCTGAGATGCTGCCACTGCGGCTTGAACTGCGGCTCACCCGAGCCTGTGTGTACAGGATGCGAGAGAGGAGACACGTTGAACATGAAACATAATCAAGATCGAGATGTCATTATAGCCAATGACATTGCTACTACTATGGGCAAGATGACCAGAGTGAGGCATCTAAGAATCTGGACGATAAATTTGGCTTCTATCATTGTGTATAACGTATCAACCATTCCTTAGATAAATAAAATATTAATATAAACGGCAGATACCTTCCAGAACTACAAAAATAGTGTCCAGCCACAACACCGAAGACACCCAACAAAAGTACGGTTGCAGCCAGTCCTAGCCAATACACCTCCATACTCCAAGTGTAGTACATTTTAGATTTTTAGAATCTATTTATTTCGGAAGGGCACAATGACCTGAATACTAAATCAAGCAGAAGACAAACTACAGCCTTGACAAACACCTTTGCGAACATACCTTTTTTACATCTCACATTCTACTCCGAGCAAATGGCGAATACACAGGACACGAGATACATGGGCAATAAACACTTGTTTGTCTGTTTACATGTTAGTGCAATAATCCCAGGAACGTGGAGGAGCATGTCCTCACACACCAAAGACAAAGATCCCCCATATATAGCCTTGACAGGCTGTTGGGGCAAGTGCTGTTAGCTAGCACCTATGAAGGCCGGCACGGCACACGAGGGGGTGGGTGGCCAACACCACGCCCGACTGCCTTTGTCTCCCCAGTGGCGATGTTTACGGCACACTGCACTGGGTACTCATTTGAGGCCGAGTCGACCTAGGGGAGGCCCAGGAAGGGTGCAGATATCCGTCACTGGTCGTGACGGTGAGCGGGAATCGAACTCGGGCCGCCGGGTTCATAGCGCAGCGTAGAGCTAACCGCTACACTCCCACTAACCGCTCCCCATAGATTACCAGTCATCGAATATCACCCTCTTACACACACCTTCCACAGTCTCACCTTGATTGTTGACACCGTACTCTCCACCTTCTCCTCCAGTGACTTGAATGTTGGCGAGTTCCTAACAGGACACAGAGGAATTCAGTCAACACCCTGCTTTATTCTCCCAGGCAGGTGGCTCAGTGGTAGTATGAGAGGCTCACAATCGGAAGGTCACAAGTTCAAATCCTGATTGGCAGGGCTGACTCTCTACCATTGCCTGACTGCCTTTGTTTCACCAGTGGTAATGTTTACACACTGCTCCAAATACTTATTTCAGGCTGAGTTGATCTCAGGGAGGCCCAGGACCGGTTAAGATGTTCGTCACTGATGTTGGCCGCGAGTAGGAGTCGAACTCTGGTCGCCGGGTTTATAGTGCAGTGCCCTCACCACTACACTACCGTTTGCCACACACACACATATATGTAGGGTACTGTACATGGCAAGGATTATAGTAGGATCAGTGGAGATCGGTGGAAACAGGTGCAGGGAACTGTACGAGGGAAGGTTCGAGAAGGGAAATAGAGGACGGTAGAGTCTGCTGGAAGAATCTTCGGGGGGAAAGTGCTGCAAGTTACCAGGGTGTGGCCGAGCGGGTATATAAGGGGGAGCGAGGCCCGCGATTGGGGCGCTCCCTCGGGGACTGAAGGGCGACTGCAGGTGGACGACAGTGGGGCTGACTGTCCGAGATCTACATGGTGGAAGCCATCGAGGACTTTTCGAGATTAACCCAGTGGGGAATCCCCGGGGCTGCAGATAGTCATAGCCTTGTGAAGCATGCTAGTCGTACTCTCGCCTTGTAAATACGTTCTCGTGAAATCAATAATCTAGAAAATGGAACAATGCGAGGGAGCTTTACACATATATACACATGCACCTTCAAACACGCCTTCAGAATTATTAGGATGCAAGTACCAGGGCATGCCAGGACATGCGGGGGGGGCATAGGGCCATGCGTGCGTGCTTTACCTGATAGCTGGCATGCTTATGGACGGCCGGATTGTGTAGCTTAGCCACAGAGAAGCATTGGGGGAGGAAGAGATAAACAGAATAAGTGTTGCAGGATGGGGAGTGGGGTGCAAAGCTAAGGAAGCAGAGATAATGAACATTATGGTGAAAATAATCGTTAACCTAAGTGTGGAGAAAATAAATAACAAAATAAATGACCAGACAACATGCCTCAGTTCCTCTATGGCAGGGGTGGGGAGCGCCCGGCCCGCGGGCCGTCTGAGGCCCGCAAAATCATTTGGTCTGGCCCTGCCAAGGCAACCGCACGACTCGAAATTCAATCAATCTAGGCGCTTTTTTCATAGCAACATAAATATAATTTTGCATGGCCCACGAATGATGTTATAAATATCCAAACGGCCCTTGGCAGAAAAAGGGTTCCCCACCTCTGCTCTATGGTAATGTTACCCCGACTACCAAAATTAATGGGTGCTGCATTTAGATGGAAGAGCGGCCGATTTCATCGATACTCTACCTGCGCGCAACCAGGGAAAGTGGGCCGAGTTGGTTTGTCAACTTTTAAAACGTTTAGGCCCAGGAGATATCGAAAATACAGCTGAGGCGCAGTGGCGTTTCGTCAGTGTGATAAGGCGATGGTCAACTACTTCGTGGGGCAGGGAGCGAGCTTATATTTGTGCACCACGTGTTGGTGGCAGGAGGATGTGGTCTGTCAACGACGGGGCTTTAACATGCTGGTGATAGCAAGCGTGCGTGCGAGAACATTTCTCGTGAGCAGAACATAATTGATCATCGGTTTTTCCCCTTTTTTCTGGCAACAAAACAGCTGTGTTAAGATGTTAAAACACCAAACTGAGACCTTTTACAAGGAATCATATCTGCATTAACCACAATGCTTGTGGTCAGAATGCAAACAAAAAACACTCTGAAACTGATTGTTCCACACCAGAGACAGCTTTTTGAGCCTCGTCTCAAAACGGTGTGAGACCAGAGGACGCTAAAAGGCGAATATAATAATTGGTTTTACCCTTTCTGGCAATGAAACAGGTGTTACGATTGATTTGAAGCTTTCGTGACTGCAGGAATCCATACTCTTTGGTTCTTTCGGTAAAGTCACGTTGGTACAGGTGTTAAGATGTTAAAACACCAAACTGAAACCTTTTGCAAGGAATCCTGTTTGCATTGACCACACGCACACAGTACTTGTGGGGAACATGCAAACAAAAACACGCTCTGGTAATATAAGCGTCGTCTTTGAACCTGATTGGTCCACACCAGAGACAGCTTCCTTGAGAGCCAGCAAGAGAGTGCTTGAGTGCCGCTCATTTAAGCTGAGATGCCCTCCACCACCACGCCAGCCTAGGTGGCTGTCCTGACCTCCATCGTCATTCCCCAGATGGGAGGCCTATGAACCGAGATCAGGGACAGACTCTGGAAGGTAAACTGAACTACTGTTATTTTCTTGGTTCTTTCGGTAAAGTCACGTAGAAGGGAAACAATGAAATAATAAAAATATAAAACAATAAGAAACACTGAAACTGATTGTTCCACACCAGAAACAGATACCGAAAGAACCAAGAATATGAATCCCTGCAGTCACGAAGGCTTTAAATCAAAATTGAACTACTATTATTTTACTAAGTAAGGCCTACTGAGCTATGTAGCTCTTTTTCAGAAGTGACCTGGCCACAAATGATAGCTCAACAAAGTGGCTTATCACGTGGAAATGTATAGGGAATCAAATAATCGAAGGGCATGTTTCTAAATGTGGAGGGAAAAACTGGAGGGTCCGAAAAACAAAAACCTACTGCGACCATGGGGAGAACATTTAAACTCCAAATATACAGCAGCAGGCGTCAGGGTCAGAATCGAACCCACGACCTCCTGCACACCAGGCGAGGGAGTTAACATCTCCTAGCCACCGCAGCGCAATGCAAGATGAGCTATGGGAGGTCCATCACGATGTGGGTGTGTATTCATGTGTTTGTGTTTATGTGTGTGTGTTTCATTTGGGGGAGCGGTAGTGTAGCGGTTAGCGCGCTGTGCTTTGAACCTGGCGACCGTGTTCGATTCCCGCTCACAGCCAACACCAGGTGACGATTATTTGAACCGGTCCCGGGCCTCCCCGAGGTGGATTCAGCCTCAAATGAGTACCTGGTGCGATGTGTAAACACTGTCACTAGGGAGACAAAGGCGGCCGGGCGTGGTGTTGGCCATCCACCCCCTCGTGTGCCGTGCCGGCCTTCATAGGTGCTCGCTAACAGCACTTGCCCCTACAGTCTGTTAAGGCTAAATGGGGAATCTTTGCCTTGTGTTTCATGTGTGGCGTACTGCACACTATAGTAATGTATAGTAGTTTGAGTAGTGCAGTGTAGTGTGTAGTAAATATTGTAGTGTGTGATGTTATATAGTGTAGTATTTAGTGTAGTGTGTGATGAATAGTAGAACGTATGAGTGTGAGGTGTCGTGTAGCGTGAGGGTGAATGTGGTGAGGTTGACCTGTGAGTAGGGGGTGAGTGTGAGCAGGGGATGTGTGTGCCTCGTCAGGTTTCATCAGTGCTTACTAAAAGCACTTGCCACAAAAGTCTGTTTCGGCTTTGTAGCAAGGTTAGTGTGTGCGAATGGCAAGTAACCCCTCCACCTGGCACTAATCTTACCAAATATCGGTTAAGCGGCATTATCTCTACCTGCGTAATGCTGTGTGGAAGCTACCTGGCCTATCACTCCATAGGAAGCTCCAGGTCTTCTCGGCCAGTTATTCCCTACCTTCTCTAGAATTGAAAAACATGAAGCCCTATTAAAGGAACATCTACGCCAGTTTGATATATTCAGGCTGACCTGTCTATGTTTAAACAGAGATTGGATTGTGTGAGGAGCTCCCAGATCCTTGAAATATCTGGACATTTCCACCAGTGAGCTCTTTTGGCTGGGTCATGTAGCTCGCATGCCCAGCCACCACATGCCAAATAAACTTTTATGTGTCTGGATAGAGGGGCAGAATGGGCGAGGCAGGGGTTAGAGAAGAGATGGACTGATGCGGTACAGAAAGATGTGGAGCTGATTGGACTTCCAGATGACCAGTACTAGCGGTGTCAAGATCGGCCTCTTTTGGGGGCAACTCGTGAAGGACGCTCCTGGGCAATTGGAGGCAGCCACCCTCCAAGAAGAACGGAGCACAGAGCAGTGACCCTCACAACAACGAGCCAAGTGCCGGGCGACTAAAATGCAGCAAGTTGACAAGTGGGGAGCGCAGGTGTTGCATCTTCCAGTCTCCCCAGTCAGTCAACCTATGACACCTGGGCCTGACCCCTGACCTCCTGTTAGCAAGCTTTCGACAATTCACAAGGCCTCAAAGTGCACCGAGTCTTGTACAAGCTCTGTGGTAATGTTACTGTCACTTATTGGCGAACGACGGTCGTTATCGATGTTAGAGTTGGTCGGTGTTGGTGCGTGTGTACCTCTTTATCGTGAGTGTGCACACGTGTGCATTAGAGGTACGGGGCTCTAGCCTATAGCGCCACCCCGTGGTCACGTTGTGTAACTGAACACAACTGTCAACGAATACGCGGTGGGGTCAAAGGAAACAACTGAACCGGCTTTAGAGTGAGAAGGCGAGTGTTTGAACTCGAGCGAGGTCAAGTAGATACACAAGTGCAGCCGCCAGGGGGGGCAAGCCGAGTCCAGCGCTGGCACGTACCACCAGATGCTGTGGCACCAATAACGAACCCCCAGGGGGCTTCGAATGTATGTTGAACTTATTTCGCGGCGTACGTAGCCAACAAAGTAAACACAAAAAGCAGTTCTAAAGAAATTTAGTTTGTCATCTAGATTTAAAAGTACATAGCTCCCAGTGGCTTCCTAGAGCGTTCCAGACGGCCACAGAAGCGCATCTGAAACCGCGCGATGCGGTGACCGTCTTTGTTCGATGGCTCAGCCAAAAGCCGCTGCTGCGAGGATGGTCGGAGTTCGCGTGATTGTTTATGCTCCTTGACGAGATCAGCAAGGCATTCTGGTTCATTTGTGGCAGGCCCTTTGTAAAGTGTAAACCGGACCGGTTTTGACCTTAAATTTCTCATAATCAAGAGCAGAGAAATATGGGAAGCAGGCATATTGTCCGCCTGTTAATTTTTCTAGAGTGAAAAGGTGATGGAGAGAGAGATAGAGAGGGGTTGGATATATGGAAATAAGCATCAAATGAATGAGAAATATTCATCTCAAATGTGCAATTCATAACTTGAAAGCCTCCAGGCAAAAACATTTCCAGTTGTATGTGCGATAAACTAGTGGCATAATTTACAAGACTAAACATGCATACTGTAAAATTAATCACAAGAGAATGAAAGTCATACACATGTGCATTGTGCATATAACGATTAGATATACCATCTCCATCCACTAGAGTTACGTTCTTAAAAACGCTTGCAAATGTAGAATGCGCAAATGCAAAAAGCTTCGTTCCAATGGGAAAAAATGGGGTTACGTTCCTGGTACGAGTGAACATAGGGGGGAAATGTTAAATGTTTAATAGCAATCACTACAATACATAAATAAACCATTATTAAGAACAATGTGTATTTTAATTACCTATGATGATGATGATTGTCGATTTGACGACGATGGAGGTGGTGGTGATGGTGAGGAATTCAGGAGGTGCAGATATTTAATAACATTTTTCACTTGTTATGATTTTACCACTGTGGGGAGTGCGAGCCACAAAACTTTCCCCGATTACATTCGCGTTTGTTTTAATGTACCTCACAGTCGACTGCAACTACATCTCCATATATATAAAAGGCAAAGTTGTGTGTCTGTTCAAAATGTTTAGCGTACTTCCCGACATGCAACAAACTGGAAATTTGCCATGTGGGTACTTTCCAGACTGTACACCATGCAAACATGATTAAAATATACTTTCGTTTTTTTTAGGCGGGGGGGAGGAGCTCAATAATGCATCTATTTTTTGCATGGCAAGTGAGCTGTGATGTCAAATCTGTCACGTGACCTGCGCACGTGGAAGCGTAACGCATTGTAGTGTAGCGGTTAGCGCGCTGCGCTACGAACCCAGCGACCCGAGTTCGATTCCCGCTCACGGCCACCACCGGTGACAATTATTTCAACCGGTCCTGGGCCTCTCCTAGGCCGACTCTGCCTCAAACGAGTAACTGGTGTGGTGTGTCAACATCGCCACTGGGGAGACAAAGGCGGCCGGGCGTGGTGAATCCAAGTCCGGGGCGAAGCCGGGTAGTAAACCTAGTTACGTATAAAGTAAAAATGCAAAATAGTGAGTTCACAGCAGGATTACTGCGAGACTGAGGACTAAGCGGGCAGCCGAGGGGGCATGATTAATCTATTCGTGCACTTCCGCAAAACTCGCGAGTCAAAAACTCACGCATAGCGAGGGTTTACTGTAAATATTATACACGAACAGTACATGTAGACAAATGTCAGCAGAGGCACGGTGCAAGGCATCCTGCTGAACAAGTAAAAGTTAAAGGTGAAGTGCGGAAATTGCTTGCCGGGTCATGCCACTGTTGACAGCAGAGCCTCCCCACTTGAGGGGATTCTAGAACAGTGGTTCTTAATCTTTACTGCAGCCTGCACCGCTGTGGTTCTCAGGAAGGGCATCTCGCACTCCAGGTGATTCGTGCACCCCAGCTTATAAACCACTGCTCTAGAGGGTGCAAAGGCCTACTCTTCCACGCTGACCAGACATCTTTGACTGAGAATGGAGGGCAAAAAAATGTGCGATGCAGAGACTTCGGCCTTCCATCGTGCCGTTTTTACGTTCATGCATGCCAATCGGTGCATTCGTAACCAACATTCCAATGCAACCTATGAGACTGGGGGTTCATGCAGGACACGGTCCCGATGGGGTCTTACCTGAAGGGCATGGCCCGAAAGATGCTGGTGGCATGTACGGAGGACAGAACGACGTCAAAAAGTGGAGCAACGCACATGACAACACAGTGAGGGATAGTGCTGAGCCAAGACCAGCAATCGGTGGGGATTTTGTATTTTAAATAGCTTCTGATCACAGACCCAAAAGCCAAAAATATGTATCAAACGGCCAGTGATAAAGAGCACTGTGACAGTTGTAAGAAGAGTTAACAGAATTGAGCGAGGTTATAAGAGCTTGAGAAACGAAATAATGGAACAGAATTCCAAATTGGAGCAGTTAGAGGGAAGAGGTAAAGACAAAAGTGTTGTGACTTCAGTATGGCGAGTGAGTGGGTAAAATGAGCGAGTGAATGGGTAGATGAGTGCATCAGGGAGTGTCTGAGTAGGTGGGTCTTGGGGAAAGCGAAATCCCTCTGCCCAGATAACATCAAGAGACAAGGTGGGGATGACCCTGGTGGGGCTGCGGTGCCTCAAATTTTGCAATAATTAGTCACCCACTTTGAGTGGCTGGCTGGGGTGCCATCTGTTGAGGAGGTTCAGGAAGCGATCCAGAGCCGAAGACCAGGAAAAGCGATGGGAAGAGATGATCTCCCAAGCAAACTGTTGAGAGGCGTTTGTGTATAGACTGCCCTATAGAACATCATTACAACAGTCTGGACCACAGGACAGGTTCCACAGGATTGGAAGGACACCCTGGTGGTCCCCCTCTTTAAGAAAAGGGACTGCACAGATTGTAACAATGACAGGGAAAGGCCCTGGCAAGGATTATTCAACATCGTCTTGCCAGGCACACTGAGGAGAGGTTTGCAGAGCCCAAATGTGGTTTCAGGCCAGGGAGGTCCTGCACGGATGCCATATTCTCTGTCCGCCTGCTACAGTAGAGGTGTAGGGAATACCAACAGAACCTATATCTCTGCTTTATTCCCCTGATCAAGGCCTATGATAACATCAATAGGCCGGGCTCTGTGTTGTTGTTCGTGTTTTCGGATTCCCCGACTCTGCTCACAATCATTATGGACCTTCATGATGGTGGGCAGGCCCGGGTAATACTACATGGCTGGGAGTCAGAGCCATTTCCTGTTCACCTTGGAGTGCGACAGGGATATCCTCTATCTCCTACATTATTTAACACATTTTCGACCAAGTATTTTGAGAAGCTTTCCATGGCTGTACTAGAGGAATGTCCATCTGGTACAAATACAATGGGAGGCTGATTGATGCCCAGGTGCGGTCGAGGGATGGCAAGATCGGCCTCTGTGAAGGAGGCATGTGAAGGAAGCTACTGGGCAATTGGAGGTAGTAGTCATCCTCAAACAATAGTGGAGGGCAGAGGAGCGACGCTCACAGGTGGTGCATCTGCCAGTCATCTCACTCAGTCAACCCATGGTACCTGGGTCTGTCCTATGACCTCCTGCCAGCGAGCTTTCAACATTTCACGTGGCCTCAAAGTGCATATAGCCTGGCACAAGTCCACTGGTGATGTCACCGCCACTTCGTTGGGAATGGAGGTTGTTGTTGTGACATACAGTATTGTGGTTGAACACGATATGAATGACATGAAAGAGTTGGGCTGGTAGACCAAGACCTCTCAGCATGGGAGGAGGAATTGGAGGAATTAACAAGTGAAATTCATGGGAATAGTAACCATGATAGGAGTGACAGAAGAGTGATATGGAGGTGACTGACCACCGGTGAGCAAGAAGCCAGAGTGAATCAGAATCTTTATTTAGACTGGAGGAATCCGATGAGCCATGAAGCTCGTTTTCACAGATGTCCATTTGGGGCAGGTGAGCAAGTTCCAACAGAAAGTCAGTGAGTGTTGGATCATCAATCACCCTGCTTTATGTTGAATTCTATCAAGTGCAGTGAGGTAGAAAATAGGTACTCCACCCCAGGTGTGACAACAGTTTTCCACCTTGCATGAGTGGTGAGTGATGAATCAGTTGTGAATAAGTGTTGCCTGCTTGAATGGCGAGGAATGAGCGGTGAGCGAGAGATGACAGCGAGTGGATAGCGAGTAATTAATGTGTACATGCTCAAGCGGTAAGGGAGACGTTCTGGGAGTGCATTTTTTTCCAGCAGAATTTGTTCAATACACTCAAGCTTCGCCCATCGCGGGTTGTCTCATCACCGACCGTGCCACTGTGGCTCAACCGTTTGCGGCTGACTGCGAGATTCCTGCATGCAATGTAAAGAAGTACTGTGCTCCAACTGCACTCGCAATTATGCTACCGCGGAAGAACACACACGGCATCATCTTCAATTTCGGAAAGTAAACGCATTTTTAGGTTGTGTTTTAACTGCATAATATTTACCGTACATGTTATTCACCTGTGCATGTATACGTAAAAGTCTACTTTTACGTATACATGCACAGTGTACAGTACACTGCTTTTTAAAAATTATAAACATTTACTATACAAGTTACATCATCACGATCCATGGGCATATAGCCCGTAGGTGTCCACTGCACAGTTAGTAATTTGTTTCCACTTTCCTCTGTCCAATGCCAATATGCTCAAGTCGTGCCGCATCTTCCATGCACCAGTCTCTCGTGTCGTCATCAAGCCATTCTCTGTCAGGTCCTTCCATTAAAAAAAAACACGATTAAAATTTTCCTGTTGTTGCCCATCCTACACGAGTGTCCAACTAGTCCCAGTTTCCTTCTCATCACCGCCTGCATCATCAGAGTCTTCTTATTTGTGCAACCTTCATCTTACTTCTACGTTGGCGACTCTAGTGGGTCCAGTTTAGATGCAGCATCCTTCTGGAAACAATACATTTCAAATGCCAATATCTTACCTCTGTCGGTCTGGCAGGCATAAAAAAAGCTGTACCGAACACGCATGCTCTAAAGATGCTTAATTTGGTCTTGTAGCCGATTTGCATGCTTCTCCAGATGTTATCGAATCCTGCCATTACTCATTTTGCCTTTGTGATCCTCGCTCTTATGTCTCCCATGCAGTAACTGTCCCATGTCAGTAGACTTTCGAAGTATACAAATTCCTTTACATTCTCAAATTTGCTGCTTTCTATTACTTCTTCTTTCTCAACACTGTCGGCTTCATCTTTTCCACGTTAATCCTCAGTCCTGCTTTCTTTCCCGACTTATTCGGTGTACGGACAATTTCCTACGGCGCTATGCAGCTTTCTTCCATCAGATCCAAATCGTCCACGAATCTCAGGTCATTTATTATTTCTCCTTGCATAGACAATCCTGTGCCGTTGTCCTTAATGGCGTCCATCAATCTATTTAATGCTACAGAAAATATTTATCATGTTTTAAATCGTTTTTGTTTCATGTTAATGTAGGGTAACATAAAGGAAAAGGAGGGGTTGGTGTCGTATTATGGACAGTGAACCAAACCCGGTGTTATCCATTTGAGTTTGCGTTGTCACCGATTTTCAAAAACGTAACTTCCACCGCGATGGGAAAGCGCTTAGTGTACAAAAAAATTCTGAACCAGTTATGACATTCAGCGTTTCATTAGGAGAGTCAAGTTTGCTTCAACCACTATTGATGAACTGCCAGATGTTTACAGGCACGGACTCTCTGTTAGTAATGTGTTCTAGTTCAACTCAAAACTATATATAATCACACAAAATAATAATTAGCTTTGTTGTGAAGAATATAAGGAGGAAAATAAATAAGCAGACAACACATCACCTTCCCAAATTTGCCTCTCCAAATTAAAAATACAAGTTTTTTACTTTCATGCATCCCATCGGCTCCTCGGTCTTCTGGGAGTGCTTTCTAGCAGCAATGCTTCATCACAAACTCTGGATTGGTTTCAATAATTAAGTGTCTCATCAGCAGACTTCGGTCTGCTTAAACCAACGCTGGTAAAACGCCAGATATTTATGGGCATTGGGTTTAGCAACCGTGACTGTTAGTGGCCCAAAGTTTTCTTGTGCTGAACTAATGCTACTGGAAGAAAAACATGACTTCCAGAAGGCAGTGTCGGCTGACGGGATGTATATATAAAAAAAAAACACTTTAAAATGTTGTTTAGGGACAGATATGTCAAATAGAACATATTGTCTGCTTATTCATTTCGTTGCTTCCAATTCTCCACAATGATGACCGTAAACATGTTGCGATGTTCCTCTCTGAGGAATTGCGGGGCGAGGGTCCGGCGAGCCGACTCACTTGACATCACCGAGCCTGCGCGTGAGTGCCGAGCCCACAGTGGAAATGGCCGACGTGGTTTTCTGTCCGGCTGTGCTGAGCGTCTCCGTTGTGCGCTTATACCTACGTCAACAAAAAGGGCAACACAAAACGGGCAAACATTAGACAACACAAGAAAAATACTTAGCTAGCACAAGAGGCAAAGTCACGTGTTTGCTACGTGCGAGTGTACAGTGAGGGAAGAAAGTATTTGATCCCCTGCTGATTTTGTACATTTGCCCACTGATTTCTATTTGCGAATAATCGCACCAACTGTTGTCACCTTCTCACCAAGCTGCTTGGCAATGGTCTTGTAGCACATTCCAGCCTTGTGTAGGTCTACAATCTTGTCCCTGACATCCTTGGAGAGCTCTTTGGTCTTGGCCATGGTGGAGAGTTTGGAATCTGATTGATTGATTGCTTCTGTGGACTCCTTTTAAGAGTGTGCTCCTAATCTCAGCTCGTTACCTGTATAAAAGACACCTGGGAGCCAGAAATCTTTCTGATTGAGAGGGGGTCAAATACTTATTTCCCTCATTAAAATGCAAATCAATTTTTTACATTTTTGACATGCGTTTTTTCTGGATTTTTTTGTTATTATTCTGTCTCTCACTGTTCAAATAAACCTACCATTAAAATTATAGATTGATCATTTCTTTGTCAGTGGGCAAACGTACAAAATCAGCAGGGGATCAAATACTTTTTTCTCTCACTGTACATGTGTGTATGAGCGTATGTGTATGTATGTGTTTTGGTGTATATGTGTATGCTAGTTACCCGCGCTTCAACACGTAGGCTTTAGCGACCAATATTATTCATAATAAAGGTTTTTTGGGTTAGATCGCATAAGTATAAATATGTTATTAACCTGCCACCACCCGACACAGCCAACTAGTAAGGTTTGTCATGTAAACAAAACGTGCCAATTAGTTACTACTTCAGCCAATCACTTACAACTACTATTACGAAATGACTTGCAGTTGAGTTATTTAATAATATATTTATTATTATTTGTTGTAAGTTAATGATATCCCTCCTCTCTTTTTTTCAAGTAACAGTGTTAATATGTGTGTGGGTTTGTCTAAATGGACGGGTTTCACACGATTGGAAGGATGCCCTGGTGGTCCCCATTTTTAAGAAAAAGGACCACACTGAATGCACCAACTACCCGGGCATTCCCCCCTCCTAAGTGTGCCGGGAAAGGTCCTGCCAAGGATTATTCTCCATAGCCTTGCTAGACATGCTGAGGAGAGGCCTGCGGGGCCCCAATGTGGCTTTCGACCGGAGTGGTCCTACATTAACGCCATTTTCTCTGTCAGTCTGCTACAGCAGAAACGTAGATAATGTTAACAGGACCTACATCTCTGCTTTATTGACCTCGTCAAGGCCTATGATACCATCAATAGGCCAGGGCTCTGGGTTATTCTTCATGCTCTCAGAGTCCCAGACCCTCTGTTCACAACCATTAAGGACCTTCATGATGGTGGGCAGGCTTGGGTAACGTTTGGTGGCTGGCTGTCAGAGACATTTTTTTTTTTCACCTTGGGGTCGGACAGGGATGTCCTCTGGCACCGACACTATTTAACATCTTCTTTGGACATGTAGTTTGAGATGTACCAGTGGAATTTCCATCTGGTATATATACAATAGGAGGCTGATCGATGCCCGAGTGCGGTCAAGGGATGACTCCCTATTGGTCAACCATATTATGTATGTGGATAATCTGGTGATTGCTGCCAACTCTGAGGAGTTGAACCTGGAGCATGCTACTAAGAGATGGGACTTTAAAATCAGCCTCACAAAAAAACAAAGCACCTGCCTGAGTATTTGATGCCATACAATGCTCCCCTCCCTCAACTCGCTGTGAGTGTTGGGTCTGATGTGGACAGAGTTGAGAAGTTTCCATACTTGAGCAATGTGCTTATGACCAGCTCCAGTTTTACAGCAGAGGTCTCACTCCAAATTAGTTGAGTGCCATTATATTTTCATCAGCTGCATAACACTGCGTGAAAGCCACCTGATCTATCACTCCATAAAATGCTCCAGGTTTTCTCAACCAAAGGCATGGGCTAGGGAAGAGATGGAATGATGTTACAGAAGAATGTGGAGCTCAATGCACCTAGCATGGCACAATAACCACGGTGACGTCACTTATTGGTGAACGGCGGTTGTTGTTGTTGTTTTATTTGTATGTATATATGTGTGTGTGTGTATGTTTGTATACGTGTCATCACGTCTGCTATGTACATGTGTGAGTAAATGTGTGTATGTATGTGTACGCATTATTACAGTATGTGTTTGCTATATACGTGTCAACTGACATCAAGGGATCAATTATGCAGCCAAAATATTTTTTTATATCAATCCAAATGATGAAATTTATTTTTTCACCACCGGCACAGACAGCGGTGCATCGGCGCACAAAGCTTACGCGGTGGAGGCTTGTACGTCCTGCATGAGGCCCGACACTGTCTGCCAGGACAGCGGTGTCATGCCCAACGATCGTTTGATGCTCCACACACGCTGCTCCTTTGCCAATAGCACTTGGCGCAGAGTAGCCACCTCCTCTTCCACCTGCCCATGTAAAAAGGAGCACACGGGTTATCATATATGGTAAAATCTCGGTTAGCCAGAATTTGCACCGGACCACAATTTGCACTTAACCGGACCAGGCTGTCTAATTATAACAAACGTTATAGATTGTATTAATTTTTTTTTACAAACAGTTGCTGTTGACAGGTCAAAAGGCCAAACACGTCAAGCGCCGAGCAACAAAAAGCACTATCAAAGTTGTAACAGGTAAGAAAGATACTCTTTGATTCTTTCGGTAAAGTCACGTAGGTAGAAAAAAATATATATCACGACGTTTCGATCGCAATACAAACGGTCGTCCTCAGGCGGAAAAAATAATCCAGCAATGGAACTGGTGAACCAGGAAGAACACAGCGAGAGAGCTGTTACAACAAGGAGGTTATATAGGTGGCGAAGGGCAAACAGGCGGGGTCTGAGCTGGAAAAGGATTCCATCCCCGCACGCAAGCACATCAGTTGTGTTAATGGGGGAGATTAGGGAGAGAGTGATTAGGGAGAGAGATTAGCATGAAATGAGCTTCCGTCGCCGCAAAAGAGTATCGTCTCAGCATATGCGCACAACAGCAGTGTTCATGGGAGATGAGCACTATGTTGATGGGAGAGATTAGCAAGTTAAAGTAATGTCTATGTGTAACACAATCTGCGGCGCTGCCAACTGCGCTGTGAGAGGCAACCACGTCAACGCAAGAGAGCCTCCGGAACGGTGGTCGCGCCAGTGAGACACACAGCCCATCACACAGCCAGAACCGTCGATACATCGAGGCTAAGGGAGCAGAGGTGGCCATGTTAGTGAGAACCCAGCCCGTTAATGCAGAGGCTCCCAACAGGGCAATGCAACTCAGAGAGTCGGAGATAACAGCCAGGTAAGAGTTCAACACATATCTTCAATCGAGCAAGGTTCTAAAAAACTTGGGGAAAAAGGGATGATGGGAGGGAATTCCAAAGTGGAGCAGATCAAGATAAGTGGCAGAATGAGAAGTGTTTTTATATGCAGTGTGGTGAATTTAGTCAGACGAGTCAGTGGGTGAGTGGTTGAGTTCTGTTTAGGTCTGCAATATGGCGGTTGAACACAGGATGGATGAGACAAAGCAGTTAGTCGAGTAGGCCAAGCCCTCTACATGGGTGGAGGAATCAACAAGTAAAGTTCACTGGAACAGTAACCATTATAGTAACGACATAAGAATGATAAGGAGGTGAATGACTGCCAGCGAGTGCGTGAGTGAGCGACTGGAGTAAATAAGCCAGTGCTGGATCATCAATAAACCCGACTGCTTTACGTAAATTTTGATTTAAAGCTTTCGTGACTGCAGTAATTCATATTCTTAGTTTTTTCGGTAAAGTCACGTTGAAGAGAAACAACAAAATAACAAAATATATATAAAACAATAAAAAATTCTCACGACGTTTCGACCATAACTCAAACGGTCATCATCAGGTGAGTTGGTTTGCATAAATTTATTTTAAAACGGCACATTTATTTATTTATTTAAAAAAAACGTTGCCGCCACGCGCAGCGATTGGCAGTTTGCCCAGGACTAGTCCATCTATTTTTTTTAAAAGAGGAGGGGGGAGACGAAATGTTTTATAATGTATGCTGTCTGAAAGCCACTGTAAGCGTGAACAATCAATCAAGAACTGAAATGATTTATCAAATCTTTCCAATGATTGCTAACATAGAATCCATCTTCTCGGTTGAAATTGTCTCTGTGCTTGTATATGTGGATAGCCTCATGAACGAATCTCTCATGGAAGCCAGATGGCTTACAAAGAACCTCCGTCTTGGAAAAGTCAATGGCATGTGAGCCTACTGAATTAGAACAATGATCTGCTACGGCCGAGGTGTTGGTCCTACCGTGTTTAAGGTCTGCTTTATGTTCACGAATGCGGTCCGAGACATGGCGTTTGGTTTCTCCAATGTAACTACTACCACAGAGGCAACTTAGTTTGTAGACACCAGGGTATTGTATGTCCGGAATCACATCTTTTACAGACGGAACCAGATCACGGATTTTATGTAATGTGTTGAAACGGACCTGGATCATGTGTTTATTCAAGATTTTGGAGATCTTTTTTGTGATCCCAGCAATGTAGGGTAAAGTGATGGTTTTGAAAGGCTCCTCAAGAGGGTTCTTCTTCATGGTTTGAGTGATAGCTTTGGTAGTAGTTACATTGGAGAAACCAAACGCCATGTCTCGGACCGCATTCGTGAACATAAAGCAGACCTTAAACACGGTAGGACCAACACCTCGGCCGTAGCAGATCATTGTTCTAATTCAGTAGGCTCACATGCCATTGACTTTTCCAAGACGGAGGTTCTTTGTAAGCCATCTGGCTTCCATGAGAGATTCGTTCATGAGGCTATCCACATATACAAGCACAGAGACAATTTCAACCGAGAAGATGGATTCTATCTTAGCAATCATTGGAAAGATTTGATAAATCATTTCAGTTCTTGATTGATTGTTCACGCTTACAGTGGCTTTCAGACAGCATACATTATAAAAAATTTCGTCTCCCCCCTCCTCTTTTAAAAAAAATAGATGGACTAGTCCTGGGCAAACTGCCAATCGCTGCGCGTGACGCCAACGTTTTTTAAAATAAATAAATAAATATATGTGCCGTTTACAAATAAATTTATGCAAACCAACACACCTGATGATGACCGTTTGAGTTATGGTCGAAACGTCGTGAGAATTTTTTATTGTTTTATATATATTTTGTTATTTTGTTGTTTCTCTTCAATGTGACTTTACCGAAAAAACTAAGAATATGAATTACTGCAGTCACGAAAGCTTTAAATCAAAATTTAATCGCCTCTACGGGGAGGGTTTTCACATAACTTTAAGATCCTTCAACAAACTCCGGGATAAGAAAGCTCAGCTGATCGAGTCTCTCACCTTCCTGAAGAGATGCCGCGACTCTGGGGTAATACCAATCGCATTTACACTGACCTCTGCTGCTGTAACTTCTTCTAATGCGAAACGAATTCTTTTCAAAACTAGCTTAGCTCTTATCTCAGAAAAAATCAGACTTATACGCACAGAACTAGATCAGTTAGACAAGACACTCTACAAATCACACTTATCATTGACGGCAATAATGTCCACATCGGATTGGGAACATGTAGACAATATGACTGCCTCTTCAGCTGCTACTATGTCGACCAAATGTAAGGAAAACCTGATTTCCAAATTTAACCTCCTCTTCAACAAAAGACCGGACCCACACACCAAAAAGTTAGACGTTAATAAAGTCGTAATTAATCGCAGTAACAGTTCTATTTCCGATGGTCTGAAATCCGTTTTAGCTAAAGGTCTAAACTTTGCAGTCACACCTAAACACATACCAGTTAATGATATAATTGCCCAAGTAGACGTTGCTCTCAAGGGCCTGGGTCACATCGCTGCAGACGTAGCAAGATCTGAAATCGCTGCAACCCTCAAAAACGCTAAGATGCCAGCTAGCAACCTCAGCAAAGATGAGCGTTTTGAATTATATAAATTTAAAAAGAGGAATGATATTGTAGTTCTCTCAGCTGACAAAGGCAATGCTACTGTCATCATGGATAAAATAGAATACAACAACAAAATTAAAGAATTACTCGACGATGGTAGTTATACAAAAATAAAAAGAGATCCCACCAACAGCCTCGTCACACAAACCAACAAAATAATTTCTGATTCAACCGCATTAATTGATCAATCTAAACAGTTTTCGTTGAAACCTTCTGCTGCCAGGCCACCAAGATTATACGGCTTACCAAAAATACATAAAGTTGATACACCTCTTCGTCCCATAGTCTCTACTATCAGCTCCCCCACCTACAAACTAGCTCGTTTTTTGTCTGAAATCCTGCGTCCTTTCACTGGAAAGACCACCTCTGCGGTACAAAATTCTACTCACCTGGTATCAACAATCAAGGGTATTTCCCTGTCCCCAGACGACCTGCTTGTCAGTTTTGATGTAGTTTCCTTATTCACCAAGGTTCCTGTACCTGACACCATTGCAATCATTGAAGACTTGGTTCATCAAGGACTAAACACTGAGGTACCCCCCCTGGTGAGACACTGTTTAACCAATACATACTTCACTTGGAATCGAACTTTCTACAAACAAACTGAGGGCACCCCAATGGGCTCCCCCCTTTCTCCAGTTATAGCTAACATTTTCATGGAGAAATTTGAGACTGACGCCATCCAGACTGCCACTCTGCGCCCAACCTTATGGAAGAGGTACGTGGATGACACTTTTGTCATCTGGCCACATGGCCGGCCTGCTCTAGACCAATTCTTCGACCACATCAATTCCATACACCCAGCCATCAGATTTACCATGGAAGTCGAAATAGATGGCAAGATACCTTTTTTGGATGTCCTAATTAAAAAGAGACCTGATGGTTCAATGAGCCACTCTGTCTACAGGAAAGCTACCCATACGGATGCTTATCTGAAACCGGATTCCCACCACCATCCATCACAGAAGAATTCTCTCATCAAGACTCTGTATCATACAGCCCAATGCATATCCGACCAGGAACACATAAGCAGTGAACTCAAGCACGTACACCAAGCTCTTAGGGCTAATGGTTACTCCGACTATACAATCCGCAAAGCTATCACTCAAACCATGAAGAAGAACCCTCTTGAGGAGCCTTTAAAAACCATCACTTTACCCTACATTGCTGGGATCACAAAAAAGATCTCCAAAATCTTGAATAAACACATGATCCAGGTCCGTTTCAACACATTACATAAAATCCGTGATCTGGTTCCGTCTGTAAAAGATGTGATTCCGGACATACAATACCCTGGTGTCTACAAACTAAGTTGCCTCTGTGGTAGTAGTTACATTGGAGAAACCAAACGCCATGTCTCGGACCGCATTCGTGAACATAAAGCAGACCTTAAACACGGTAGGACCAACACCTCGGCCGTAGCAGATCATTGTTCTAATTCAGTAGGCTCACATGCCATTGACTTTTCC